TGGAGCGTGACGAATCTCGTTGGCAAAGCCAATACCGCAGTCGGAGATGTTCCTGATTGAGACGAACGCGATGCGGGTGCGGGTTACGGCACACCGAGTCGTGGCGCAGTGTGCGTGCGTGCGGTTCGCGTATCGAAGCGTGGAGGAAAAAATTGGATCGGTCACGGACACGTGGTACCGTGGCACGAGAGATTTCGTTCGTTCCTGATTCGAACCGAAAAAGAACCCCGATGCGTTTCGCCTCTCTCTCTCTCATCGTCGAACCCACGCGTTTTCCTTTTTATGGCTCCCTTTCCTTCCTCCAGGCAGCTTCTTCTCGGCAGCGCGCGACCCCCTTAGACGCAGCCCTAAGCGGTGTACGGCGCGTTGGCGCGCGCGCGCGCGCGAGCGAGCGGTTAGGGGATGCTGACTCATACAGGCCAGTCGGCGTACCGCATAGCGGATACATGGCGTGTCACCCCGAATATTATTCGACCGCCTGACAGCGCAATCTGTGAATGCGCGATATTGTCTGGTGGTGGAGGAGGCTGCGGCTCGACTCTCTACGTTCCGACGGTTACCGCTCGGCATGTGGGACTAGGAATGCCACGCGTGCACACCACCCAACTCTCTCCCGCTATCTCGGCCGCCGCTGCGAGGATCCGGCGAATACGCGTGGCGCGTAATCGTTGCTCCTTTCGTCCCCTTTAACGGTCCGGGTTTCAGCGGCAGTTTTTAGCGCGTTAAATTCCTCCCGAGTAATTTCCACCACCGCCCCATCCGCCGCGTCTTCCACCTTTGGAATCGGAATTCTCTCCCCCTAGAGTCTAACGGACACGGACAGGGGCCAGCGAAACGACGGAGGGAACCGTCGGCGAAATTCTCCGCTCGGCGAAGAGAAAGACCTTTGGCCCGATCGGTCGAACCAACGAACGCGCAAATTGGCACGCGCAACAAATTCGGACCGGCGTTCGTTCTTAATTTAGAGCCGGCTTCGACCACGCTAACGACCCCGGCAATCCGTGGAAAAAACGACCGCAGCCGTTTCGAGGCGCCTTTCTCTCGCGAAACGAAAGTAGAAGACTCTGGAACGTCCGACATTCCGTCTAACCGACAGAGACACCTTATCCCCCCGCGTGCTCTCGTTAATAGAAGGATCCTCTCCCTCTCTCCCTCTCTCTCTCTCTCTCTCTCTCTTTGTCTGCCTCTCGGAGAACGATAACAGAGACATCGGGCGAGAATAGGAAACGAGGGGGAAAGAACGCGTGGGGTGTGCGCGTGTGCGCGCGCGAGCAGGCCGAGCCGGCTGTCGCATATTTAACGGCATCCCGTGTCAAACGGGGCCATAAAACACGCTCGCGCCTAAATAAAATCCCTTCTTCGCATCGACAAACGTTCCTCTCCTCTCTTTACGCCCCGTGTTCTTCTCGTCCTTTCCCGATTCTGCATCGCGAACGGGGCTGTTCCGCGCGTTGGCGCGATTTACTGGGCCGCGACACGATGGATGGATAGACGGAGGAGAACGGAAGCTGCGCGCGAGAAGGCTGGCGTTTGGTTTTTTCCTCGCCTCGATAAGGAGATACGGTCGCGGACGTGAAATTCCGGCGCTGCGTCGCGGATTCACCCTTTGCCCGGAGCCGCTTCGGTGGAATCGGTGAAAAGGATGGGCGCTTTGTTTCGCGGACGGCGTCGCCGGCCGATATCACGGTCGAGCGAGTTTTCGGGGCAGTGGAAGGACGGAAATACGGACGGAAAAGCGGGGTGTCGGGTTAAGCGAGGACTCGGCTGGACGCGGTTCGCTCGGCGATCGCGCTAGGTACCCGGGGTGGTCGGGGGTCGTGGGTACGAGACCGAGGAGAAGCCGAGGGTTCGTTTCGGCGGCGAGGACGTCGATAAGCGGCTCGCATTGTCCGACGGTCACGTGGCCACCCTCGCCATCCCGAAACGACGCCTTGTCCCGGCTACCGTCGTTTATATTAAACTCCGAGGTTAATACCGTGGCTTACTCTAATACCGGGGCAACCCTTTGCCCTGCGATACGCCGATAAGGCTCGCGCGGACCGACCAACTTCCTCCGCCACCTCCGCTCCGCCATTCCTCTTCGCGCTCCTCTCGTCGCTTCTCTCGTCGCTTTTTCGCCAACGTCACAAACGCGTTTGCATTTTTGCCGGCCGGAGAAACGGTGGAAACGGGTCGCGAGACTCGGTCCGCTTTCGATCCACGCAGCGAGCACGGATGCGAACCGAGGGCAGATAATAAAAGGAAAATGGGTAACGCTCTCAAAGTCGAGGGTTGGGGAACGCGACCCCGACTCGACACCGAGCAACAATGCGCCCGATAGAGAACCGACCGCGAACTCGCTCGCTGCTCGTGGTCCCGGCTTCGCAGATAACGCGTCGCCCTCCCTTCCGCTGCTCATCCCTTTCCTATGCCTCCTTCTAGTCCTCCCCATTATATTCTCCCGCTCGTACCTACGCGCGCCTCGCGCAAACGAATCTCCGTCGAGTTGTTCTCCTACGCGATCGTTCCGTCCGATCCGGAGGAACCCGCGTGTCCCGATGGACCGTCGATCGTTGCACCCCGTAACGGTGCGAACAACGCGTCCGTCCGTCGTTCATCTCTCTCTCTCTCTTTCTCTCTTCCTGTCCGCGCGCACGGTTTCGCCGCGTCGATAAATTATCCGAGGTTAACAGGTGAGCGCGAACGACAGACGGCGATAATAACGACGACGATAAACGCGTCAATAATACGCCGGTAGGATCGGGGACGCGGCTGCGGCCGCGGAAACACGGCTAGGCGATATTAACGATCGCCGCTCCGTCGTGTTCCGACGACACGCGCGCGTTATTCCCGTCACTCGCGGATTTCCCTTCGATTTGGGTTACCGGCCTGGCCTCGCAGCCGTTCCTCTCCTCTCTGCCACTTTGATCCTCCGCCGACCACCGACGCCGTCGCGACCGACATTCCCGTCCGCGTCCCGTTTTCGACCTCTTTCCGTCGCTCTCCGACCCGCGCGCGGTTCACGCCCGCGCCAGGCCTCTCTGCCGCCCCAGCCCCCCGGTGGATAGAAAAAGAGAGAAGACGGAGATTAGCTCGAAATCCGGTTGCCCCCCGCCGACCATCTCGCCGAACGAGAACGTATACGCGTCGGTCCGGCGAGTCGGAGCGAGCCACGATCCTGCTTACTTTCTCTCCTCGTCGTCGTCCCCGCGGTGTCCCCGTTTGCGAGTCCGCTTCGCGATGCTCTTTAGCCTTCTCGTCGCTACGAATAATCCGCGAGATTCGCGGCCGCGCGTTTCGTCGAAACGGAAAAGCGGCGAGTACGCGGGTCGTCGTGGAGGAATCGCGTGCCACGTAATCGTGGGAGCGTTTCCCATCGAGATACGCCTTGGTACCGTAGCTAGCCGCGAATATATCCGCGGGCACACCGGCTACGCGCGCGTTTCTACGGGGTGGCCCGGAACCGTTCTCGCGACGATCCTGCGTTTCGCGCTGGGACCGCTCGGAACGGTTCGCGAAGGTGGTTGTCGATGCGCGCGAGCACGAGAGGAGGACGACGAGAGAAAACGCGCGGCGACTACGCGAGATCGAGAACGATGCGCCGGTTGCGCGTTTCCGCGTCACCGAGTGTGCACGGGAGAAAGCCGAACCGCGCAGCCACGCTCCATCTAGTCGGCTAAACGTACTTTACGTACCGTGCCCTCGTTCCACCGTTTTATCCGAACAATTAGACGCGTGATCCGCGATTTGCCAGGCCTACGAAAAAACGATAGCCGTCTCGCGTCGGCGAAAGTTGCTCCAGCCTTTGGACGCTTCGCGAGATTTCCTTCGCCGTTACGCAAGACCGTCCAGACTCTCCGAGTCCGAGGCCTATCTCGCGAGATCTCCGGGCTCTTCGGACACGGACGCGCACAGGGTGGCGCAGGGTCCCGCGTGCCACGAACCGCAAAGGGATCCACGCAGGGACCCTCGGATGAAAAGGAACGAGAAGAAGAAGAAGAAGAAGAAGAAGAAGAGAAGATTCGACGAGAGATTGGCGAAGGAAAAGAAGAAAAAGAGGGCAGCACGAGCGCGCAGGGATGGAAGGGGAAAGCTCGAGAAACGGGACATTAGCATAAGCTAAACCGAGCTAAGCGCGGCCATATAGCACGGAAATAAATAGTCGCTTGTCCCCGTATCTACGGGACGAGAGGGTTTAGCATGGGCCAACCTCGTGCTCGCCCTAAAACCCGAACGCGCGTGCGTTCCGTTCGCGGACCCACCACCGTGAAACCTATCGGTGTCGTCCATCCGACCTTTTTCCCTCAAGACGGCAATTTCTAACGGCAACAGGTCGGTCATCTTTCCGCGTGGAAATTTCGAAATCGCGACGAGGGAAATTCGCGCGATCCATCGCCAAAGGCAGAGACAGAGAGAGAGAGAGAGAGAGAGAGAGAGGTTAGGAAGGGAAGTAGAAACGCGAGCATTGTCCCCGGCGCGCGGTTCGATGACGATCGCCGCGCGGCGTGGACGAGTATTGTGTGTCGGGTACGTCGGCTAGAATCGCGGTGGTCTGGATGACAGTCGTGTAATGTTCGCGTCGATTAGACGAAGCTACGAACGAGCGGCGCGCGTCAAGAGACCGTCGCGATCGGAGTTCTTCCGGCGGCCCTGCCACCGCTCGCGCAACCACGTTGCGTCCACCGGCATTGTCCCCTTTCTAAGCTTCTCTAAGCTCGTCCAGGATCGACCACGAGAGTCCGCGATGGTGCGCCTCGTCCTCCTCTACACGGCCGATGCTATCGCCGCGCCGTGCGCACACGCCACCACGCCAGTTACGAGAAAGACGGCCTATCCGTTCGTATTGTTCCACGCGCCGTCATCTCCACGGCTCTCCCATCTCTCCGTCTTCGCCCAGTCCGACTCTCCCGGTCGAATCCCAGCGAAATAGAGAGAGAGAGGGAGAGAGAGAGAGAGAGAGAGAGAGAGAGAGAGAGAAAGGAAAAAGGAGAGAAAGAAAAAAAATGGTAACGTTGGTTTACCTGTGGTGAAGAGGACGATGGCCTTGAGGCAACTGTACTCGGCCGAGTCGACGTGCAGAGCCTTCAACTTTTCCACTTGTTCCTGAAAGATCCTGATGTGGTCCATAAAGGCGACGACGCGATCCGCCGCCATGGGGGAAGCGTGAAGACCGGCTGCGGCGAGCAACGGCGCCACGTGGAGAGGCATCGAGCACTGACTCGCGTTTAGCACGAACAACTCGCTCCAAACTAGCCTGAGCAGGGCAACCTGGTCGGTGACTTGAAGGTCCGGGAAGAACGGGATGTTTCTGGCCCACTCGACCGCCGAGAACAGCAATCTCGCCGCGAGCTCGCAGATGTTGTCGATTCCCATGATGTTGTTCGGTTGCATACACTGGCCGTATCGCGAGGTCGGATACGGTTCTGCCCTCAGCAGCAAACTTATGTACGACGAGAGGTAAGAATGACCGTTCAGGCTGGCACACGCGACCGCGTCGCCGTTCGTCAGGGCAAACTGTCCCGGCAAACCTGGTAGCGACGGCTGCGACGGTGGCACTCGACCCCTTTGTACGGCTGCAACAGACGAACACACTACATCAATCGATCACTTCGCTTCTTTCGTCGTGTTCTCGCGCTTGTCCTACTCCCTCGCCTAGACCTTTCCTCGTACGCGCCAACCATCGCAGAAATCCTAACGTCCAATCTCTCTCTCTCTCTCTCTCTCTCTCTCTCTCTCTCTCTCTCTCTCTCTCTCGTCTCGGTCTCGGTTACTCGCTATTCCCTGTTCTCCCGAGACTCGACCAGCAACGACACCCCGCTGCGCAACGCCTGAATTCCAACCTCCGCCCCGCGGCTAACGAATACCGTCGTCGTCGTCGTCGTCGTCGTCGTCGTCGTCTCCTCTATCTCTTCCTTCTTCGCCCACCCTGCTTTGCCGCGGACTAAAAAACGCCAGTCCCGAGGCTCGTTCGGGACGTGGTTTACGGGTTCTAGCGACCGGTATAACACGCGGCTAAACGACTCGTGACTTTCTTTCTCTCGGTTAGCCGAATGCCCGCTCAGAAACCGCTTCCACCGATTCGCCGGACTCTGTTATTTCGTTTACACACCGAGGGCCTCTCGCGAGAGTCGAGGCTGCTCGCTGCTGCTCGCTGCTACCACCACGCCGAGGACTCGGTACCGTTACCGGCCGGCCCGAACACGGATACTCGTTTCGTCGCTCGCTCGAGCGGAAAAGAATTCGCGGGAAATTCGTACGTCGCGATCAGCGAACCCGATCGTTTCGACATCCGCTACCCGCTCGTTCGCCGCGACCTCCGAGCATTCCGGTCGCGCATCTCGAACCGAGAACCGTACCGAGCGAACGCGACCCGACACCCCCCCCCCCCCCCCCCCCCCCCAATTACCGGGCAACGTATACGCGTCGCGCGTCTCGTTAACCGACATCCTTAAATCTCGTCGATTCGCGACAGCCGCTCGTGATTCCACGGCGCGGGGTGAAAGGTCGCGAGATTGCCGCCAACGGTGCCGCGATTACGCGCGTCCGCTTTATCGACAGGCTGGATTTTTTGTTCCAAAATCGCGGGGAACGGCAGAAACCGTGGCGTTTAGATTACGAAGAGAGCGCGGGACCGGTTCGCGGAGCTATGGCGACGCGAATCGTGACGCGGATATCGGGACGGCAACAAGGATCGTTACGCGGTTCGCTTGGCGGAAGAGACGACGCGAATTCTCGGAAAAAAACGCCGCGACGACCACTCGATAAAGTTATCGGCGCGATGGCTGTGAAGCTCGGCTCCGATGGCAAAGTCCACGTCGATCGGACGACCGAGGAATTTTTTCGCGACGCCTCGACGTCGGTCGCCACCCGACGATAGTTCGAGAAAATTCCTCGTCGCGTCGATACCGTTTCGTCTCCCTCCGCTCACACCGCGCCGTCCATCCGGCTCCGCCGCGGAGAAGCGCGTCGCGCGAGAGGCAGAGCAGAGCCGAGCCGAGCCGAGCCGAGCCGAGAGCGCGGCCATAGAGAGATCCTCGGACGTGGATTGATGATGCCGACGCGCTGTTGCACCGAGCGTGGCGCGGTCGGTGCAGCTCCGGCCAGAGACGATTGAACGCGGGATGGGTCAGGAAAACGAAATAGACGAGGATGCAACGAGAAAGGAGAAAAAGACGAGCAGAGAGAGAGAGAGAGAGAGAGAGAGAGAGAGAGAGAGAGAGAGTTGGTATTTCAGAGGAATATCCGTCTGCGGGCTCGCGACGCGCAACGAGCGGCGAGCATCGTTCAAAATAATTATAAACATCGAGAAACGACGATCAATCTTCCGTACGCGTTCGATAATAAGCGAATTACGAGGACGACGTCGAGGTGAAAACGAAGGAACGAGAGGGACAGAAGAAGGATTGAAAGCGCGCGAGAAGAGACGAATGGAATGACAGGGGTAAGGGTTGAGCTGGACGTGGCCGTCCGTGGACGTGGGGGCAGCAGACCGAGTCGGCCCGGAGAAAAAGGAGAGTAAGAGCACCCGCGGAGCGCGTGATTTAAAATGCTAATTTTTTTCCTTCCTAGCGACAGCGCGTTGATTAAGACGATCGCGCGCACGGAATGCCGCGCGCGGAATGGAATTTCATTAGCGGCTATGACACACGGCTTAGGAAATTTCACGCGATTCCACGATACCGCTCGACACCGCCACCCATGTCGAGTTTCCCGCTTTTCCCGATTTCTCTACGGGTAAAACGCGCGACGATAACACGCGTACGAGTAACGCGAACGCGGCGCGTTCGCCTCACCGACGATTCGCCTGCTCGACGGTAACGGTGACGGTGACGGTTACGACCTACATGAACATCGCCACGAGGTCATTGGGTCGTCGATTATACGCGTTGTACACGTCGCCGTGTATATCGCCATAACCGCGCGTGGCGTGCAACGAAACGAGTCGCTCAGAAAGCCTACTCTTACGCTCGAGATTGCCCGTTCGAATCTCCGCCATTTTCGCGCCTTTCCACTCGGCGCCCCACCACCGCCGACGCCGCGAGTTTCCTCTCTATTCGTTCGGATCGTGGCCGGCCGCGAGTCCACGCGAAAAGCCGCCGGATTATTATCCGTTTGGCGTTCGATCGCTCGAAGAAACCCCGGAATCTCCTTTGGAATCGAAACCGCTTCGTCCTACGTCGTCCTCGACCCTTAGCGGAAGATCCATTAACGTTTGCGAGATAATTACTCCAAATAGAGATTATACAGGCCGGTACTAATTCTCCGCGTGTGCAGCCTCCGACGATAAATAAACACCTACGTAAAACCCTGCGGCGGTCCCGCGCAACCAAACGGCCTAATGATGGGAAGAGAGCTCCTTACCACGGCTTCTTACCTACCTATTCGCTCTCTCGCTCTCTCGCTCTCTCTCTCTCTCTCTCTTCCTCTCTCCCGCTCTTTTCTTTTCCCTCGCGCACGTTCGCGCTCGCTCGCGCCCCCTACCACCGGCCTAACGTTTTTCGTACGTCTTTCTTTTTGCGCGCCGCGATTCCCTTCGACCATCCCACTCCCCACCCCCGCCGTGTCCTGGCTTTCCAACTGGGTTGCATCATCGCGAGCGGGGAAAAAAAAAAAGAAAAAAAAAAGAACGCGCGACACGGTTTTTTTTCCTCGATAAAACGTCCACCGATCGATCGAGATGGGTTTCCTTCCGCGTGAGACGGTCGTCGTATCGCGCGCCGCGAACGCGTCGAATCGGCTCTACAAGAGGAAAAGAAGCAGCGGGAAGAGGAAAAAAGGAGCAGTGGAAAAGAGAGAGCGAGGCCGAAGAGAGGAGAAAGGAGCGCGTATCGCGTGGCCGATGCAACATCGCGTGGAGTGATTTTTACGCGGCTAATAAGCGGGTGCTCGTCCCCGCGGGCACCAGTTCCGGCTCGAAGGTGGCAAGGCAAAGAGTAGGCGGCCGGTGAGAAGTGCCGCGCGGCGAGTCGATGCTATTAAGATTTCCGTATCGTCGTCCCGTTACCGAGACCGACCAACATACCGAGAGGTTACGCTCGCCGATCGCCTAACGTTCTCCTTCTTCTCTTCCTTCCATCTCCATCCTCTGCATCCTCTCTCTCTCTCTCTCTCTCTCTCTCTCTCTCTCGCTCGCTCGCTCGCTCGCTCGCACGCTCGTGCACTCCATGTATACGGCACTGCGCGATATGCACCTTTGCCTCGATACCATACCGAACGAACGAATCTCCAATCTCGAGATACCCCTTTTAAAATTTCCCCCGATATTACCGTTCGTTCGTTCGTTCGTTCGTTCGTTCGACGAGAGTCTTCCCCCAACGCGACCACGCGACGTATCGGAAGGATATTTTCGCGTTCCCTCGACATTAACCGACGGAGCGAGTACGTCGTACCTATGTATACGGGTATGTAGATACGGTTCGTGGGAGGACTGCGAGAAGTCGTCGCAGAACCCGGGGAACCGGGAAAGAACGAATCCACCGCGATTGGAAGAGTACGCGCGGACGGGAAAAGGATCGAAGCGAGAACGAGGGAGAAGCAGATAAAGATGCAAAGAAGGGAAAGGAGAAGGCAAAAGGACGGAGAAAGAGGAAGAGGGAGCGAGAGAGAGAGAGAGAGAGAGAGAGATGAAAAAGCTCGGGAAGCGAGGGAAGAAGCGCACGCGCGAGAGAGGAAGAGATAGCGGAGAAGGAGAAAGAGATCCGAAATACACCTGCGGATCGAGACGGGCCGAGAGAACCAGTCGACGCGGAATAACTGGTATTAATACGTCACGTAATTACCGTGCGAGAGGTATGGAAGTGTGTGTATAGTCGACGTTGGCCCGGCAGGCCAACCAAGGCGGGTTCGAGCGAGCACACGCGCTTACATCCGACGCTCTCGAGAGTCGTCTGTTAGACCTCTATCCTCTCTTTCTCGCTCCCTTGCACTGGTCGGGAAGATGCCGGCGAGAGCATGCATCGTACGGGCAGTTTTCGAGCGAGCGGAGGTCGCTTCGGGCCATGCTTCTGTTCCGAGCCATTATGATAATTTCGCCGGAAAGAAGGTTACCGGCTTGCTCCGTCGCCGACTACCCTAGGCCTTGCGCTCGCGCTCGCTATTACCAACGACTAGAGAACGAACGTTGCGTCGCGTCCCACTCACCCCTCCCCGCCGCCGTCCCCCGCCGGTCAGAGCCCATTATCCCGTAGCCGTTGATTCCACGGGTTATATCGGCCTTAACCGCCCGCGCGCTCATCTACCCGCACACTCTATCCCGTCGCCGATTTTCCCGATTCCCATTTCACTCCACCAGACCACCACTGCCCTTTCTCCCTTCGTCACACTCGCGCGCCGTTCGTTTCTCCGATCGTTTCGCGGCAAAGGACCGACAGCGTGCACGGTCACGGAACGCTCGTTAACCACGGCGATAGGAAGGTCCACTGCGTGGCCAACTTTGGTGACCATCGCGCGCGCCCTCTGACCACGCGCGTTACCCAAACCTTCCGCCAATTGCTGTCCAATCCCTCGCATAGTTTCGTTTCCAGTGGATTCGCGAACGCGCGCCAGGCGATCGCGGTCTATTCCACGCGCGACA